TACAATGTCTCGAATATAGGATATCATTTCATGAAATATCCCCATGGGTATTTGCTACTTTTGCAATTATGTCATTTCTTTCTATACAATACTGGACAATGCCCCTCACGGGGTGTAACGTCCTGGGGGTCAAAGCCCTGGTGCAACCGGTAATGGTGGTGCCAAAACAAAAAGTGAGGCAATAATATGGCAAAATATTTTATGCACTTCCCACAAATTCAAAAAGAAAAAGTGAAGCTGTGGCCATCAGTGTGCCATTAGCACGCTGATGTTGCAACTACGATTTATGGTGTCATCTGCCATCAGCGCGTCCGCAGATGGTCACTTTAATTGTTTCGGCGCCGTGTTTTATTACGTTGAGTTTGTCTGATGCGAAGTACTAGCGTCAAACAGCACTTAACACATTATCACATACTCACAGAATAAGATGTGCAAATCCCTTGGATTATCTGATGGTCACCATTAGATAAGGTATTGCAGACGGAGAAATAATTCACAATTAGGCATCTGCTTTGCATCTATCCATTTCAATTCATAAGTATGAGTGTTTTGTCAAATATTTTTACTTTCCATAATGTAAAAGTGGCGGGGGGAATAGAAGTAGCATGCAACGTTAGCAATTTATTCCAATTTATTTGTAGTGATCAGAGTAAGGTCAAGGCTATCGAGGTTTTGTAGACGTCATGTGGAAAATTCCTTTGTGGGGAATAATAACTGCAGGAGGTGGCAAGCTCCTCTTGTGGTTAGAATCCGAAGCTTCTAGCAGGGCTTGAATCCCCAGCAGGCTCCAGTGTTGTGTCCTTGGGAATGGTACTTAACGCCTATAAATATATTTCCTCACTTGACACAAGTGAAAATAAGTATTTAGCTTTGGCTACGAAATATTTCAATTTCTCTCAGGATGTAAAGCCGGATGTCCCGCGTTTGAGGAGAACACAGGCTGGAACTGGTTTATAGCTCTTTAATTTATTTACTTCAATGAGGTCGGCATGTACAAGATTGTTTTCGAATTTTACAATATACTCATTTTCACCTGAGCGAAGTGACGAAAGTCGTGTAAAGTGCCTTTCCCAAGGGCATGAGATCGGTGGCATGTCAGAACTCGAACCCGAGACCTCTTGGTTCCGAGCACTCTGCCGTTATTAATTACGCCCACGACCTCATCTACTTTTGACGTGAAAAACGGTAAACCATCCGAAACTCTTCCTTTACATCTTTTTTCTGGCACCGGTTTGAACTGTCCTACAGAGTACTGATAGATAATTATACTTCAATGATGTCTTCCTGTGTAGCATTATTTTCCCATCTTTTCCCGCTTCATCGGGCGTCTGACAAATGGCGAGTTAAACCGCTCACCTGTGGCCACCAACCAGGGTGTAGAAAATGAGGTTCCGCTTGATGGAACGCTAATGCACTTATAAACTTCATCCATCACTTTCAACAGCTCCTAATCATCAAATGCTCGAGAAAATTGGTTCTAACAGAAGAAAGGTGAACCGTTCATCATAATTTAAAGCACTTTTGTGTGAGTGAATTGCGACAGGGGTATTGAATGTCACCTGTGCGTTTAATCTTATGCTACGCCGTCTTCTAAATGTTGACAGAAAAGTTCGCAATTTCCCCATCTTTTCTTCTATATGTCACCACCACAACTATCATGTGCACTCAATGACTCTTTGCCTTTTTGTCGGTTTTAAACAGATGTTTCGTATTCCATTTCGAATGGCGCATGCAACTTTGAGAACGCTTGATACTTCTTGGCGACCTCAATATGTCCAAGCAATATTACACGCGTAGGTGTTACTGGTCTTCCGTGTGGCTTGACGTGACGTAAGTTGGCAACATGATAGTAGTATGCTCTTTGCCTTTTTGTCGTTATTACACAGATGTGTC